GGCTCCCACTCCCCTGCGCCGCTGGCAGCCGGATCAGCAGCGCTGCCCTTGCAGCCGCATGCTGGTCCCCCTCCTACATTCAGGGAGCATTTTTTCTTTTAATATGTAAAATTTGTCCTTTTTCTCCCTGACTTTATGGCCTCTGTGTCATCAGCAGTGCTCACTAATTGCAGTCAGCACTGTTGATAGAATAAATTAAATGACAAGCTACTCCAACATCTGGTTTTGCTTTGCTGTCAGTAGGAATACTAACAGCTTAAATTTGCTGAATTATTTTACATTTTCTTGGCCTGGGACCGATACCCAAGTATCTGCAGCTGTACAGCTGTCTGGACCTAGCGTAGTCACAACCCTAAAGGAATAACAGTTTGCTTTTCATGTTAATTCCTGTTTTTGAGACCCTCAGTTGTTCTGATGTCCCCTGATTGCCTGCAAGGAAGCGGCATCCCACTGTGCTCTCTGGGGAGATGTGTCCAGTGCAGCCCACCACCACCACCACCACGACTGAATCTTGGTACCTATTTTAGCTAAAAAGTACCAACACATTTGTATTTTACATCCAGTTTGTCTGCGTTGGTGGCAGCCCAAACAGGATGAGAGCATTTGCCCAGTTCATGCACAAGGAGCTGGGACTGACAGGCGACGGGGAGGACCTGGCAGACATCTGCGCGGGGACGGACCGGTATGCCATGTACCGGGCTGGGCCAGTGCTCTCCATCAGTGTAAGTACCGCGCCGGGCTGCACCGCACCGCACGCATTTTCCGTCCTGGGCACTCACTGCAGCCCCTGCCCCGGGGTCTGCTGCTGCTGGCGTGGTCCCGCAGCGGGTGGGCGCAGGGGCCCCGTCTGCCCCGGCGGCAGGGCGGGTGGCCAGCACGACCTCTCCCTCCCGTGCCTCCGCTTCCTGCAACACCCACCTGCAGATATTTTCCCTCTTTTCAGTTTTCAGCCATTACCACCAGTACAACCTTTCAGCCATGGTAAAGCTGCTCCTGTTTGAATGATATTTCTCAGAACG